TCTTCGTAATCATTTCCGTAAACATTGGCAAGATTACTGTGATGCTCAAAGAATTATCCAAGCTCAAACAGGTAAACAAGTACTCTTACGTGCTTGTCGTCCAAGTACCACCAAACCTGATCCAATTTTGTATCTTCCAATGAATAATTCTGCTCGAAGTCGATTGGTCAGATGGCGATTAGGCCGCTTTACAGCCATGGAACGCCAAGAATGTCCTTGTGCAGACTTTGGTGCGCGACTGTCTCGTGATCATTTTTTGACATGTCGTGCAATCGAACCGGACCTTATTTCTTCCCTTCCTGTCTCTCCTCCCGGTGTAAACCGTATAGATTTTGCTTTATCTTCCCTGCCCACCAAAGCAAAATCTCGCCCTCCCCCTTTTTGGCCAGTCCTACTTACCGTATTATGGTTAATCGACACTTTGTGTCACCCTCTAAAAAACATTCCTGAGGATCCACATCCTGGACGCTCTTGGTTCAATTACCCTTGCTGAACGTTGGTTGCTTGTCTTCTGTTGCGTCGTCACGGTGGTAAGTAATTATCAAAGTTCCCATCCGTTGACCGTTCCCTCAGATCAATCCAACCAATTATTAAGCTCGCGCTACTCTACCCCTTCTTTTCCTTTTTTTAATTTGACAGTTAGTTACACAAAATTATTTTTTTCATGCATCTCACCCCGTACTCGGAAATCGACATATATCTATGGATAGTCCACCTATTTCCATTATTTTTTGATATTTAGAATCCCCTTTATACCCTCTATCTTAATATCAATAAATAAAACCCCCATTGTTTTCACCTGAGCTACAACCCCATGGTCTCAAAGCCACCACCGTTCAAGATCCACTTTCCCACACGCTCTTTTCTGATATGCTCCTTATAACCGAAACCTGGCTTACGCCCTCTATGCTCCTCCCGACAAACTGGCCTCAATATCACTGTTATGGTCAAAAAGTCACAAATGCAAATAACCGTGGTAAAGGTGGTATCACCGCTTTATTTAATCCTTTATGCAAACACACTGTCCTTCAACTTCCTTCTCCCAATGACCACACGCTCTCCCTCAAAGTAGGTGATCTTCGTGTTCATTGTCTCTATCTTCCACCATCTATGCCTATCCATCAAGTATTTGCTACACTTGATTCGATTCCTCTCCTTCCAAATACCATCATCTGTGGTGATTTTAATGCTCGCCTTGGCTCTTTTGTCGGTGATCATCAATCCAACCCTCGTGGTAATCGTCTTCTCTCCTGGTGTTCTGACCACCAACTGCGTATTTTAAATGAATCTCTTGCTAATGGTATTCCCACCTTTTCTGGGTTTCGACTCGGTCAAGAAATATCAAGTATTGTTGATTTATTTATCACAAATATCGCTCCTTCCTCTCTCGTCTCTCCAGCTCTGCAAGTTGAATCTGACCTCTCTCTGAGCTCTGACCATCGTCTTATGCACCTCACATTTGACCTTGTGCCATCTCACGATGATGTCCCCCTTCTTCCCGATCGACCGTTGGCACCACGTAGACTATGGAATTTAAACAGACTTAAAAAACCTGCGTACCTCCAGAAATACCGTGAGTCCATTAAAGAAAAGATTGCACCTCTCACCACCAAGCTCGAAAACTGGATTTCCTCTCCACCTCTGCTATGTCCATCTCTTGATTTATTCAACGAGTCATTCAATGCATGTGTGTATGATTCTTTAGATCTTTCCGTTGGTAACACTCCTCCTCGTCCCGACTACTGGCACAAGTACTGGACAACTGAATTACAAGAAGCTGCTGAAAATCGTGACCGATGTTATAAACGCTGGCGTAGAAGCATTGGAATCGACAAGGTACATTGGTGGAATCAACATGATGAAGCTAACAAACTTTTTCGTAAAAAAATTCAAAGAATCAAAAGAGAATCGTGGAACGAATTTAAAAAAAGTTTGGAGACAAACTTTCCCAAAGCCACAAAAACGATTTCTCGAATTAAAGCCCGCAACACTCACACCGCTTCCTTCACGCATACTGATGGTCCCATGAAAGCTGTTGATATTATGTCCACCCATTTATCTTCAGTGTATAGTGGTTCCTCTCTCCCTGCTCCTTCTCTCCGCCCACCATCCGTTCATTTACACCATTTTTTACCTCACTCTCTTGACAACACTCCTTTTTTGGATGATGATGTTATATCGTGGCGTATAAAGGAATTACCGAACAACAAAGCTCCAGGCCCAGATCACATCAAAGCCGAAATGCTCAAGCCTGTCATTGACATCCTCGCTCCTTTTCTCAAACTTTATTTTACTCTTTGTTACCAGTGGTCCAACACACCGTCTTTATGGCGTCAGGCTACTGTGTTTCCAATTTTTAAAAAAGGTGATCGTACTGACCCCGCTAACTATAGACCCATTTCACTCACTTCTGTTCTTCGAAAATTATTTGAAATGACTATAGTCTCACATGTTACAGAACTATCTCCCGCTCTTGATCACGCCCAAGGTGGTTTTCGTAAACAGCGTAGTCCTCTTGACCAAGCTTTGTGTCTGCATGATCTTATGCATGATTACTTTAACAAGCATTATCATTTTCCTTCTGTTGCCTTTCTGGATATCAAACAAGCTTACGATACGGTGGATCGTCGTGTAGTCTGGAATATCCTTGCCTCAAAATCCTCTTTTCCTGTTCCTCTGCTCAACCTGCTCATCCATATGTTTGATGATGTTTCTATCTCTGTATTGCTGGCCAATCATAGATCAGATCCATTCACTCCCATCACTGGTTTGTTGCAAGGCTCTGTGCTTAGTCCTCATTTATACTCTCTGTATATTGATTCTCTTCCTGGTGTATTGCGTAGCGCTGCCTCTGATTCTACTCCTACTGTGTTCGGTCTCGACGATGATGAACCTGTAGCGATTAATTCTCTTCTCTTTGCCTGATGATGTTGCCATTTTTGGAACAAAAGATGAAGTTGAAAAAATGCTGCAGATCGCTGGCGATCACTCTCTCAAACTTGGTTACAGATGGTCTCCTTCCAAATGTGCCATTTTAAACGCTCCTTCTCCTCGCTCCTCGCGAACTCCCAATTTTGCCTTTACTCTTTATGGTGAACCCATTCCCACTGTTGATCAGTTCTGTTACCTGGGTATGGAATTTACTAAAAAAGGTTTAAATGCCGGTAAAAGTATTGAAGCTCGATCCTCCAAAGCCAAAAAAACCATGTCTCTCCTTACCTCTATCGGTGTACACCGTAATGGTTTTTCTCTCCTTCTCTCCGCACGCCTATACAAAACGTTCATTCGACCAAAAATTGAGTATGGGTTGGCTATTTCTTGTTTCACAGCCCGTGAAATGAGTAAATTAGACACCCTACAAAATTCACTTGTGTCAATGTTCGTAGGTAGTAAACATACAACAGTTGCTAAACACATCACTTGTCTCCCTGGTATGCTCCACCGCTATAACACCTTGGTTACTAAATACGTGCTACGCTCTGCCAACCTTCCAGAAGATTCTCTCCTCATCCTCCTCCAAGAATCTCTCTCCCAAACAAGACTTGGCAACAAATTAGAAACCAATGCTCTTTATACCTCTCTCCCTGATCCTATACCAACTTCTCCAATTCATCTCCGTAATCACTATCGTGATTATTGGCAGAATTTTTGTGACGATCAAAGAGCCCATCACGCCACTACTGGTAAAAACGTCCTCCTTCGCGCTTGTCGCCCATCCACCTCTGTTCCTGACCCCATCCTCTACCTCCCTATGAATAATTCCGCTCGTAGTCGTTTGGTAAGATGGCGTCTTGGTCGATTTACTGCCATGGAAAGAAACGAATGTCCTTGTGCTGACTTTGGTCAAATCATAACTCGTGATCATTTTCTCACTTGTCGTGCTATTGACGCCGACTTGATTGATTCTCTTCTTGTCTCTCCTCCTGGTGTTCACCGTATTGATTTTGCTCTGAATTCTTTACCCGCCAAAAAAAACACAAACCTCCCGCCTTTTGGCCGAAACTGTTATCCTTGCTTTGGATGATTGACACGTTGTGTCACCCACTATCAAATATTCCAGAAGATCCAGATCCTGGTTCTTCTTGGTTCAACCACCCTCGCTGAACACTAGTTCCTTGTTTTCTGTCGCGTCGTCACGGTGGTAAGTGATTATCAAAGTTCCCATCCGTTGATCGTTCCTTCAGATCAATCCAACTGGTTATTAAGCCTGTGCTACTTTACCCCGCCTTTTCCTTTTTATATTTTCAATTGTTTGTCACACAAAATATTTTTTTCATGCAAAATTTCCACCCCGTACTCGAAAATTAGACATATATCTATGGATAGTCCATCAATTTTCTTTATTTTTTCACTTTTAGATAGCTAATCCCTTCCTCTATTATATTAAATAAAACAACAACGTTTTCATCTGAGCTACAACCCCATACATGCTGTTGATACGTTCGTGAATTCGAAGTAACCTTTATCTCTGAGAATGAATGACGTCATCTAAAAACACGTGAATGTCACGCTTCTCGAATATGATTGGCTATTGACTGAATTGGAAATAGACAATTATATCTTTAATTTTATAATTTATTATAATAAAATTATCTTTACTTTACTTAAGAAACAACTGTGTACCTTAGTGTTAGAACTACCTGATTGGATAGAAATAACTGAATAGAACTGAATTGAATTGAATTGAACAACTGAAAAGAAGAACCAGTTCATAACATCATCGTATACAACTACATCTTATTTAATACTTTTGATTGATTGTCTTGTCTCGGAACGATCACATCAAGGGGAACATATTGATTTCACAAACAACATCGCAACCGTATTAACCCTTAAAAAAACGGTGTCCCTAAATATTCTTACACCAAAAAAAAATAAAACGGTGTCCGTATAATTACCCTTAAACAATGCAATCAAGATTAAAGGGCATTACAATGCTTTAAAAATGTATATGTCTTTATTCATTATGCCATTGTTTTGCTATTTACATATACATATATTTATAAGTCAGTACAAACTACATCACCAATTTCTCTCTGGAAATCTTCGGCAATCGTCATCTGTCGCAATCGCTCAGTCAACTCCTTATCTTTAAGGAAACAATTGACAAAATCTTGAAATTCATCAGCTGTGAGTTTTTTAAGTCCACTTAGTGTAGACAATAATACAAGTTCAAACACACCAAGTTTAAAATGTTGTAAAAGTATATTGTATTTTTTTCGTACGTTTTTGAAGAAACTGATGTTAAACTCCATGTACTTTGGATCTGTTAAAAACGTTAGTATGGGCAGATGTTCCCTTTTTTTTGGTTTTTTTTACATACTTCTTAAAGGCTGTAATGGTTTTATATGTGTAACAGCCCTCTTTTCTTTTACACTTGCGGTAAAACAGAAAAATCAGGAACAGTCGGTAAATTGAACCAAGAGACCCAGAGTACCATAGGTAACTCCAATACTGAAATAGTACACTACATGTTTAAAATACTTGTCGCATGAATCTTGTGATACGTCTTGATTCAAGGCAGGAGCAACTGGCGCAACAATGTTTTGAAGGTTACCTTCATATGGGACGTCCTTCAGATTCCATTCAATCATTTTGCGTGCTTCCGCCATAGTATCTGATTGAGATTGAGAATGATTTTTCTCTGGAGCAGAAACCTTGGAATCACCAGACGCACCAGATTCATTGGTCTCATCAGAATCTTCATCCTCATCCGTATCGGAACAAGTCACTACATCGTCGTTGAAAGCATTTTTTCTTTAACGTTTTTGTCTTTTTTTGGTTGGCGCCTTTTTTACTAGTCGTCTTACAATGTTTTGTTTTGCCACGACTCTTCTTTTTTTATTTGCCTTTGGCTTTTCTACGTCTTGTTTGACGTTAAGGTGTATCAAGTAACACACTCCTTTTAAACTAATAACTAACCTTCGTCATTGTCCAATCCAATTTCGTATGCTTTTAGAACTGATTTGATAATGCATTTATGGCTATTGGGATTTAAATAATAAATATGGCGTTTAGTTTTCCCCATATCATCTGGCACTATTTACTTACATGCAGCTTTGAGGGCCCAGACGCGTTTTCTAAAATCACCAACAACGCCTAAATTCATCTATAGTATTTAGCAACGGTTAATTATTGATACATGTAAAATTTGCACGTAGTAGTTTTTGGCTAATTATACGCGCACCATACTTTTTGCTTGAAAAAAAAATCTCGCGCACCATTTTTTTCTGTCCGGTCAAACAATAAAATTCCGAGTCGGACCAAAAATAATTTTTGAACATTGGACTTTTTTCTTGCGCTGGCGCACCATACTTTTTTTCGCTGGCGCACCATACTTTTTTCGCTGGCGCACCACACTTTTTCGCGCACCATACTTTTTCCCACACATAATGGATGCAAAGATGATGTTAAATAGTTTAAACAATTCCATCACTGTTCCTACTGTGCTTTTGAGTTCACTCTCATGTTTATTTGTCTAAGTTTTTTATTTTTTTTTTTATGATTTTAAGGATAAATGTGATAAGAATAAGTATAATAAGGATAAGTGATAGGTAAAAAAAAAAAAAAAAAAAAAAAGATTTAGTTGTTTTGATAATATTCAGATACGTCGTTAACACAGATATCCCGGTGCGCATTGAATATTTTTTGATGAGAAAAATTGATGGTTGGCCATTTTTTTGGGATAATGGCTTTCTTGGTTTTGGAGTCAACAATGGGCTCAATCATATAGAAATGACTGTTAATAAAAAAAAGAACAATAGGTTCATTCATTTTCTCCAAATCTAAACCAAGAAATGGCACAAAAGTTATTGCATCCTTGGTATAAATGACGTTTCCGTCATCATCCCTCCACAGATTATCGTATTTGTCCGTTTTTGGCGTTGTTGCATGCAAGATTACGGGTCGTCTAAACGTATCAGCAACTATTTGAGGGCAGCCATAACAATCAAACCAAAGATTCAAATTGTCAAGACATGGCGCTTTTGTTGACTGAAGTTTTGTGGTTATGTAGGCTTCGTTTAAACCGTAGCTGTCATAAATGGTGTTTGCATACTTTAAAAAAGTAGCTAACATCATTTTTTTGACCTGGATCCAGGCTTCTTCGTGTCCAAAAACAGCAGCACTGACAGCGCGAAATCCACAATTACCATCGGGAGTGGGATTAACAAATCCGAGAACATCGTTGGCATACTGACTATCTAGCATCTTGAATAGATTGCTATTATCAGAGTCGCGTGTTACCACTTCAGATGGTTTGTATCTAAAAAAATACAGATATTAATACCGTGAAATATTAAGCAGGGTATAAACTTACTTTGATCTGAGCTTATTGATGGCTGTTGTCGATGGCTTACGAAGACTTGGTTTATTTTTTTGGCTTTTGTTGTTTTCTACTTTTTTTTGTTCTAGCTTGATTTTTTTCGTATTTTTTTGCTCGCTAGATATTTTTTCGTCTTCGTGTTCCACACCAAGCTTGTTTCTTTTGGTGCCTTTAGGACGACCCTTCTGTATTTCGACAATTTTTGGTGCGAGAGTGTTTTCTAAACGATCGTTTGAATACTTACTGATCAAAGCATCCATGTCCTTTATGAGATCAACGGATTCTTGTTGGCTCCCCAAAACCTTGCACAAAGACATTAATTTTTCAAGTCTTATTTGGATGTCTGTTGTATTGATGTCCAATACGTCTGCAGAACCTTTAGCCAATTCGGCAGAAACTTCGGCTACGGTAGCAACTATGAAGTACATTATTATAAGTTTAGTTTTAAGAAGGATAATAAAATTTGCAAAACATTGAATTTTTACCGTTGCCCTCAAAATACGAGATTCTCCATCTTTGGTGAATCACGTTTAATGGAATTTTTCCATCAATGTACGAGACAGCAAGGATGTGTCTGCATGGAAGCCTAAAATTTCTTCTAAGCTTACAGAGGCAGCTCCCACCAGATAAGACATGGCTTACGTGGTCAGGGTTTTCCTCAGAAGCTTTCATTTCCATCAACTCATGCATTCTTGATGTTTTCGAAAGCAAAGCTGGAAACATTCAATTTTATCAAGGAAAGTTTATCCATGATATCATGTTCTAAAAAAACTGGTCGTTGAGAGACCGATTCTTTAATTGACTGTAAGTTGCGGTAGTCTTCCTAAAAAACAGATTTTTTTAGAATTGTAAACAAAATATAAACTGTGGTTTAGCTACTACGTACTCTTTTTTTAATCCACAGATCAATTTTTTCTGTAACAACAGCCATGCTACCAGACGAAGTGTTGTTACTTCTTTTGATGTTGGCATGGGTAGACTCAACTCTATTAGATGTTCTATTGCCCATATGCATCAAGTTGTTGACGTAATATCCAACCCAATATTGTTTTTTGATCATCATGCTACATTTTTGCGTTAATAATCCAGGTATAGCCTTCGGTCGGATAGAAAAAATTGCAATCAACATAAATACTTACTGATGGAGGTATTTGATCATCGTTTGGGCACCACCCTTTACACACATGCCCTTGGTTGACACAAAGGCCTCGTACGCATCTTTAGCAAGCAAAAATTCACGCTTTGTTGCGCATGTTAATGCCATTTGCTTTATGATAGCCATAAAGGACTTGACCTCCATTTCCATCAAGTTTCCTGCGTTATAACAATAAGTTAATTTAGAAGGATTTCTTATCGTCTTTTAACTGTTAACATACTGTCCTGTCTTTTTTCTTTCGACAAATTTTTTTTAAATCTCAAAATGAAATTTCTTTGGATATGAATCCAGCACAAGATTTGGTTACTCTCAGGGAAAACAGACTTAATTGCTCCCAACAAGGCTTCGTCGTTATCGGTTACAAAGCATTTTGGTAAGTTACCGGTGCTTTCACCGACGGGCCAAACAATCTCACGAAAGCAGTTCATAGACCAACGATAGCGGTCACCTGTCTCGCGATCCATCCAGCATCCCGCAATAGGCACTGTTACCAATTGCTTGGGTTTCTCTTTTGATCGCAAAGTACCTGCAACAACAAAATTCAACAAGACCATTTTGTGTGAATTGGTCTTGTAGGTGGCATCAATAACAATACACTCGGAAAGCTTTCGAGCCTCATCAATGCCATGTTGATGTATGAAAAATACACAACAAATCCTTTCGTCGGCATTTGTCATGTAGCGGACTTGATGACCACTGGATTCATGATTTTTGATGAAATTCCACATGTTGGTGTGATTATCTCGACAAAATTGCTGTTGAATATTTGTCAAATCCGTTACAACGAGGTTATTCACACCTCTTGTTTCAAGCATCTAGTCACCAAGAAAAATTATTATTATAAGCCAAAATACAAAGAGGCATAGATATGTTAAAGAATATACACAAAATAATTTTATTTATTATGACTACAACTTCACTAACTATTGATTTCTCAAACGCCTTCTATATATCAATTTTCAACCTTACCTTCAATGTTTCACTGGGCGTTGTTCCTGCACGCATAAGACTGATTGCAAGCTCCTGGTCTTCTGCATTGAGCTTGCGATTGTTGTGATAAGCTCTTCTATCCTCACTCAAGGGATGATTATGCTCAAAACAGCTGGTTCGGATTGTCCATGGCTGTCCGACAGCTCTTGCATCCTTACGAACATATACAAATGCCGAGCACCCCGTTCTTCCAGTTGTTCGGTTGGGACGCTGCGCAACACTCTCTAAACCCTCACCAGTTCCAATATCCTCTTCATCTAGTTTTGCAATTAATTCATCGAATTATTTTATACGACCTTATCGCAGATTTTAATTTATATTACCTTCACCCTTCTTTGCGGCACGATATTTGCCAAAATGTTTGCAAATCATCTTAATGTATGATTTGTCGCTTTTACAAGTCTCAAAGGGGATGTTGTTTGCTTTACTGAAAGACTGTATTTCCAGTCTTGCAGTGTCCTTGTCGACAAAGGTTTTTCCCACGGGAAACTCGGCTTCGAAAGCAGCCTTCAATTCGATGACTCGTTCATTGATGGAAACAGTCTCGGCAAAAGAAGAGACATGTCGTGTGGCTTCGACACTAACGTCTTCCTCCTCAGGCTCACTAAGACATTCCCAGTCGTAGTCATCAGTCGTTGTTTCCTCGGCAATAGCTTGCTCAGCGTTTTGTCTGTCAAAGGTCTCCTCGAAACTGTCTTTGGGTTCGTCGGCAGGGTTGATTACAGATAAAAGACTGTTAATTAACAATTGGCTTTCGCTCAAAGATTGTTGTGAATCGTTTAAATTCATTTCAAAAATAAAAGTTTAAAAGAAAAAGAATGAAGGAAAAAAAAGTGTGGTGCGCGAGAAAAAGTATGGTGCGCGAAAAAGTGTGGTGCGCGAAAAAGTGTGGTGCGCGAAAAAGTGTGGTGCGCGAAAAAGTGTGGTGCGCCAGCCAAAAAGTGAGGTGCGCCAGCCAAAAAGTATGGTGCGCCAGCAAAAAAAGTATGGTGCGCCAGCGAAAAAAGTATGGTGCGCCAGCGAAAAAAGTATGGTGCGCCAGCGAAAAAAAAGTATGGTGCGCCAGCGAAAAAAAGTATGGTCCACCAGCCAAAAAAAAAGTATGGTCCGCCAGCGCTAGAAAAAATTCTATGTGCAAAAATTATTTTTGGTCCGACCCGGAATTTATTATTCGACCGGCACAGAAAAGTATGGTGCGCGAAATTTTTTTTTCAAGCAAAAAGTATGGTGCGCGTATAATTAGCCAAAAAAAACACCAGCTTTAATCAAAGTAGAAAACACGCACAAGCTGCATTTTCTACAATAGTTTAAATTGTTCACTTGGGTGTAAGGTCTGAGTATGCGTACCTCATTAGTAAGAATGTTGCTATTAGATATTAAATAAACAAAAATTGATAGATGGGAAACAACTTTAAATGAATATAGGTTTTCAAGTAAATTTGTTATAGTCATTTAATAAATGGTAATTGTACACACTAGAGCATATTCGTTTACACTACAGTGATAATAATAATAATAATAATAAAAACCATCGACAGAATTGCAAATAGATTACCGTCACTAAAGCTTATTGTGATATATAGTGGATAATCGCCGTTCAATAGTAGAGACGTATAACTTCCAAAAAAAAAGCAATTCAACTACAAATAAAAGGCATATAATATCAGAAAATGCATAAAGGGATGATAAAAATTGAAAAATAACAAAAGAAAACACAAGGTAAAATAAAATAAAAGAAAACAAGACATAGAGAAAGGAAATGAAGGCATAAGGTAGAAAAATCAATAAACGAAAAAAGAAGCATAATTAAAGAAAGAGTAATGAAGGGAAAAATAAGCATAGCCATGAAAAATTATGAAGGAAAAATAAACAATGAAGAAAGAAACAATGGGAGCATAAATGATTGAAGCACAAGACCCTAAGAAAGCACAAGCATGACATAAGCATAGCATAAGGAGGGGAAAGGACAGGACATGGATTATAAGGGGAGGAAAGGACAGGAAAAACAACCGACTATCTAGACAAGAAAGAAAATCTTACAAATGATTCATTTTAGGTTAGTACTGATATAAACATAGGATGGAGTACATACATTACTTATTTGTTTTCAATTTTTCTCTTCTTAAATCGCCCAGTGGCTCTGTCAGTTGTGACATTATGTGTAGTCTCCTCGGGCTTGGGGTATATATGATCCAAGAGATATTGTTGAAATAAAGCTGGATCTGCGATAGGCTTATGGTCTAAAGTGGTGAGAAAATCATTTTTGGATTAGAATCCTTTCGCATAAACCTTGCTTTTGTAGCCCGAGGGATGACCCGGGTGTGGAGTAATGTCACCAGCATTAGGCGTTCGTAGAAGAGAACAATCTCCTGAAACTCCAAAACCTCCGCAAGGAAAAATTCCAAAAACGCCACTCTTGAACCAAATGACTTGTATTTGTGACGGATTAGAACGACCAGGTCCTTGATCATTCCAAGATTACCTTGCATGTCGTGACAAGGTGTTGGGATGAGCGATAAAATGAGCTCGGACACCCAGGTGTAAGGGTTGTATTCCTTAGTGACATTACCGGCTAATGGTCCGAGCCTTTCGTTATCGTCTCACGACAAATCGCTCATCCCTCCTTTTTTTGTCTTCACCAAATAACTTGAGGGAAGTAGCCCAAAACACTCTTCCCAAAACAGCTCCATAAACCTGGTGGCTCCTTCAAAACCAAGTCCATACCGCAGCAAGATCGAGCATGCCATGGCGTAATTAGCTATTGTTGGTTCCTTGTTGCGGTTATAGAGACACAAATCGCGCCAGTTCAACCTCTCTGGGTTTATGAAAGGAGCACCCCAACTCCACAAGTCCGCTCCAGATCTCAAAGAGGGGCTCTAGACCCAGCCATAGTTAGGACTGCTCACCATACAGTCACTGGGTCGTTCACCAAACTCCTCCACAATCATCTGGATATTATAGAACATCTTCTTCAGCTGTTGAAGATTGTAGGTGCCCGAAAACTCAAGAACACCTTCGTCACTGTTGGTGAAAGCACCTGGGATAAAGCACAGCCCGTTGGATTTGTCGCGGTTTTTTGAAACGAAATTTCGGCTGTCTGTTCTTATGTAAAAAGAAAAGTATTTTAAAAAGACACGTTTGAATACGTTTTTTACCAACACTGTCCATAGCCATACGTGCCTAGTAAGAAAGTAAAGCTGCCAAGGAACAGTCATTTGTTACAATCATGGCACCCAAGAAAAAGGACTCTCATTTGTTTGTTCTTTCTTTCATCCATCTACTCAACAAGGACCTCTTTTAACACTGTAAGCGAATACCGCTGCGTGTAGTCCACAATTTCAATAAAATGAAAGACTATGTTCTTTCTTTGTGCTGTCTCATCCATACATTATTTAATTCCTGCCTTGAGGTAGAATCCTTTTTCAGTCATTAAAAATTAAACAAGACCAAAGTGCACTGACTGTAATATGGCTTCCTCTATGATTAGGTGTATCCTTGTCTTTCTTTAGCAAGAAAAAACAAAATATTGCTAATTTTTATGTTGCACGGCTCTTTAACATTTTTATAAAGTAAGAAGACCAGTAAGAATCTCTTTTTATGGGTGTGCCTGTCTACATAGACAAGCGAAATGATTTATGTCTCGTGTATTCAACAAGAGCAACATTTGGTATTATTGTAATTGTGTGTAACTCTGGGCACCAATCGGATCCCAGAGTTTGACTAAACCTTTAAAAGGCTTTAACTCTGTTTAAGTCCTGTTTAATTGACTTAGGGCTCTCACAAGCAACAAAATTATTTTTTTAAAGATCCCGATTTAGGACTTTATTATTGTTTTTTTTAATTTTTTTTTGTAAAAGGTTACAATTTTGCCAAATAGATGAATAAAAAATTAAATGGATATATATAGGCGATTAACAATAACGTCGAATTGTATGTCGTTCCTAACACAATACTGGTTGCCTCGGCTTCGGATTCCGAAGTGGTACAAGTTCTCTGAGCCACGCTTTATTTTCAGATATATAATAATAAAAAATATATAATTCCCTTTTTCCTCAGATCTTTCTAAGCCGCGCACCGTGGATTTACTATGAATGATCACTCTACAAGCCAAAATGTGGACCAACAAACAGTATGTACAAAAGAACAAGTGGATGCTATCATCGAAACAGTTACCAGACGCGTCAGAGAAAATTAAAATAAGATTGAAGTCGGTTGTTAAATATAGACCAAGTGACTGGCGAGAAAGTTATTAGAGGGAATTATGTATAGAGAATTCCGTTCGCTAAAACTGTTTAACAGACTTTTTGATTGAAAATAAAGATAATTTTTATTGAATCATAATTGATTGATATTTATATGTTTTTACTATGTTTCCGCAGTACTACGGTTGTACTGCGGTCAAGCTCTAGTGTTGGATAATATACTGCGGTTAAGGGTTATAACACCGATGAGTTAGATGACTTGACTGGTTTTACAACAAAATCAAGCAAGCGAAGCTGAACAAAAACACCGGGGAACAGATATTCCCACGAGCAATCACGAAGAACTCGACAGTTATAACCACTCCGAGTTACAACGAGCATTGCAAAAGTATAAACCGGCCATTCCAAAGTACAACAATGAGGATTAGAACACACCAGAAACAAGCAACCCGAACTTTATCTGTAAGCTCAAACAGTGGAAAATCGATTTTTTACAACTCGTATCCACCATATACAAGCTTACAGAAAGTACGAAAACACAGGCAAGAGCAGCAACAGAAATGTACGAACAGCTGCAATATATTACTGAAAGTGGAATGCAAAACGACGATGAAGACGTCTTCCATGACACTATGGAAAAAGCAAGACGACTTGCAGTGTTCGGATATGGAACTACCAAACAGCAAGAATATGAAGCAAAAGAAGCGACAAGTAAAGCGATTAGATTGCCCTACAGTCTCAAACACTTGGAGACTCCCCAAAGTAACGACAAAAATACGCTTTCGACAATCAATTTATTGAACAATACTACGAAGAAACGTCCAAACAACGAGTTACCAGTGATACCAAACGAAACAAGAACAAAACCAACTTCAGTAGAGGAGGGCGAGGAGCTGGAAACTATGGAAATAGAGGAGAAAGACCTTTTTTACACCACAGAGGGAGAGTCGAGGAACATGGACACCTGAAAGAGGTCAATCAAGTCATCAACAGTCGACAACTCCATGCAACAGCGAAAACAACAATACCAACAACATCAATCAGTGAAGAAGGAGCCTCAAACTCCGTCCACAACAGCGTTGATTCAACATCAGTAAAATCACATACACCAAAAGTTGATTCAACATCACTTACAATCACAAACTCAACAAATCAGTTACTCTATCCCACAAAATGGAATATAACCAGGGGGACGTCTTCATCATTTCCTTAACAACTGGAGTAAAAAAAACACTATCATGGCCAATATCCGTGGTGGAGACAGGTTACCGCTTACAGTTCGAACGAGAACCGCGACCGTGGAAATTGAAACCATTTAAGATGACGAAAGAGGACCTACTAGCAGCAGATCAAGCAGTACAAACATTCCTGAAAGCAGGTATTATAATACGTTCACCAACTCAAAACAGAAATTACCTGTCAACCTTTTTCCCCATTCAGGAGGCAACCAAACGTCAACCAATTCTCAATTGTACAAAATTAAATCAATTCCTATAAGTACAACATTTCAAGATGGAAGGCGTACCAGCATTGCGAGATATCATAGAAAAAGACAACTATATTTGCAAAATAGATCTAAAAGACGCTTATGTAGTAGTCCCTATACATCACGAATCACAGCAATATCTAACGTTCGAGAACAAAGGTGTAATTTACCAGTACACATCATTAGCATTTGGTATAAGTATTGTACCAAGAGTTTTTTCAAAACTAATGAGATATGCGATAGAACATGTGAGAGCACAGGGTATGAGAGTAATTTATTATCTCGACGACATTTGTACTCTAGAAAAATCAAAGGAGATGTTGTGTTTTAAGGTAAGGTCAAATTATAAAAAGACTATAGAAGTAGTTTGAGACTGTTTATAAGATTGTCCTTTATTAATCAATGAAATGTACGAGTATTTATAAAAAGACTGTCTGCTGTGTTCATATCTCTAGTGCTATCTTGAAGTTATCAATGATTAACCAAAAATGTATATGATTATTACATAGTCACTAATTTAGTCTTCTTCTAATAAATGTTAAGTCTTCTTAACTCTCTTTGGTTTAAACTAAATTTTAAGTATTTCTCAGACGTACTAACTTAGACTTGTGATGTAATATCCTTATAGTTCTTACTATGACATTTATTGTTAAGCTTATATCACAAATGGTATCAGCATGGATAAACCTTTGTTAGCTCTAATATGGCTATAGCCTTCCTAGGTCACCACAGGAGAAAATGAAACATTCAATTGAATTATTGACAAGCCATCTCGAACAACTTGGATTTCTGATAAGCAAGGTAAAGAGTGCATTCGAGCCGAAAACAACACAAGAGTTCCTTGGGTTTCAATTCAACAGCGGAACAATGACAATTTCTCTACCAACATTGAAGATCAACAAAATTTTACAACGACTTCGTCAAGCCGAATTACCAAAAATACGGTCGTGTCGTTGGATAGCCAGTCTTGTAGGGAAGATGACAGCAGTAATTCCAGCAATTGGGGAGGCATTATTACATGTTCGTCACGTGCAAAGAGATTGAGCAAAGACCCTTCACATAAACCACAATCTGTGGGCCAGACCGTGTCGAATATCCCAGGCAACAAAGGAGGAAATGGAATAGTCGAAGACGTTTCTGGTACAGAAGAGCGGATTACGCATACAAAAAATAATAGTTCCACAACCAGCACTAAAGATACACGTCGATGCATCGGATATAGGTTGGGGAGTGACATCAGATCTGGTACAAACAGCTGGATTATGGATCTTAGAAGAAAAAGAGGACTCAATCAACGTTCGGGAACTAATACCAATTTATTATGCACTACGAATTCATGCAAAAAAGGTAAAAAAATCGGTTATGAAAATTTACAGCGACAACATGACAGCTTTAAAATACGTAACAAAAGCAGGAGGAAAGTAGGGGGGACAGCATCATTTGCATTACAGAATCTAGCAGTGAAGATACAAGATATCTGCAATCAACATCAACTAACTGTTCTTCATCAACACATTCCGGGGATTCAAAATGTAAAAAGCAGGTCAATTGAGTCGAACAAACAAACCTATTTACGAGTCATCGATTCCTCAAAAAATGTTCCAATATATCCAACAAACATGGGGGAGAATATTGAAAATAGATGGGTTTGCAGCAAATCACAGTCACGAATTGCCGGATTATTGGAGTTACAAGGAGGATCATTTTGCTTTGGAATTAGATGCGTTCATCCAGAATTGGAAACGGAAATGCCTCTATTTATTTCCGCCATGGAAACGTATCCCAAAGGTACTGAGGAAGATGAAGACAGATCGCACCAAGAAAGCAGTTCTCATTACACCACTTTGGACGAGTCAATTTTGGTTCCCAACAATTCTACAAATGAAACATATATCAAACTCAATAGTATGGAAGATGAACAACCGATGGAGTTTGATCGCGTGGAGACTATCCACAACTTCAGGAAAACCAATGGTATGAATGAAGAGTTAATAGAGCATCTGGATAATACAATGAGAGCTACAACAAACAAGTTATATAATGCAGCATGCAACAAGTATGTCGTTTGGTGTTTGAACAACGGTGGACAGCCTACTACATACGACCCGTAACAGATTTTACGGTTTTTGATTTCATGTAATGAATTCAAAGTATCTATGTTGAATGGTTATAGATCGGCTATCACTTCACTACTCAATAGTATTCATCCAAGGAAACGACCTATTGCCGAAGTAGAAGAAATTTGTCAATTTTTCAACGCAAAAAGAAGGTTAGTAGTGGCTATTCCGAAAGATACTAAAATCGAATCATGGGATCTGGATATTTTGACTACATACATTATTCAACAATTATCAGCTACAAATCAGTTAAACATTTATGATCTGCAACAAAAAGTTATTTTATTACTATGTATGCATGCCATGTGGCGTCCTAGAAGTGATATTGGACGAATACAATATCGAGATGTATTGCTAAAATATCAAAAT